ATAAATGGGGGGGAAAAAAAAGAAATATAAATCTCTATTATTTGTAATATACCTGGTATGTGCTACTCTGTTATAACAGCACAAATGGACTGACACACTGGGTTACTGCTTATATCATTAGAGAAGCCAATTAACTTCAATCAGGTGTATGTCCACAGACTAAGCTGTATATAGGTACAGTGACATGGAACCCTGATGAAAAATAATGTCAGAAAGACACAGCAGACTGGGCACGGTGGCTCACACCCGTAATCCCAGCACTTTGGGAGGCCGAGGTAGGTGGATCACCTGAGGTTGGGAGTTCAAGACTAGCCTGACCAATATGGAGAAACCCTGTCTCTACTAAAAATACAAAATTAGTCAGGCATGGTGGCGCATGCCTGAAATCCCAGCTACTCGGGAAGCCGAGGCAGGAGAATCGCTTGAACCCAGAAGGCAGAGGTTGCAGTGAGCTGAGATCATGCCATTGCACTCCAGCCTGGGCAACAAGAGCAAAACTCCATCGAAAAAAAAAAAAAAAAGAAAGAAAGACAGCAGGAACAAACTCATCTCTTCTTCCTCAAGTATAATTTAAAGTGTAGTCTTTAGTGATAGTAAATCAGTACTGGTACTATAAATACTGAGAGTGGCAAATCTTCAGTATGTATTTGGCATACAGCATCATTTCAAATCACATTTCTCTCTTACACATTTACTCTGTGTTAGGAACATAGAAAGTTTTTCAAATGTAGCAAACTTAAGAAGCAAAAATGGTAACATTCATTAGCTAATGTTAGCAAACCCAGATCTTCTGCCAAGGCTTCAATCACTAACTGCAAATACCAATGGAGATTCGTATCCTTCTGGCAACTGCACATCATGAGAGTCCTTTTTTGCCTTTTATAAAGTACAGTGCTTCAAAGCATATCAGGGGGCAGACAGCACCCAGTATTACTGTTAAATATCTGGCTTCTGTTACTAACCTCATGGCTTGTGAGAGATTTGATTTTAAGATGGTCTTTCTCACCCTCCGAGTCATATTCAAGCCTTTCCATGCTCCTACTCCTATAAACTCCTAGGTAAGAATATATTTGAACATACACTGTTTTCTCTAGATTAAGCACATAGAACATATCTTAGATCCTTTATATCGCCGTCTCCTTAGAATGTAACCTTGGAATAATGAACCTAAGATTCCTTTAAATATGTTCTCTACCAAACTACAAATGACCACCCAAGAAAATCAGAGGACATAAACAAATGGAAAAACTCTCTATGCTCATGAATAGGAAGAATCAATTATCATGAAAATGACCATATTGCCCAAAGTAATTTATAGATTCAATGCTACTCCCATTAAACTACCATTGACCTTCTTCACAAAATTAGAAAAAATTACTTTAAAATTCATATGGAACCAAAAAAGAACCTGTATAGCCAAGACAATTGTAAGCAAAAAGAACAAAGCTAGTGGCATCACGCTACCCAACTTCAAACTATACTACAAGGATACAGTAACCAAAACCATGGTACTGGTACAAAAACAGACACACAGACCAATAAAACAGAATAGAGATCTCAGAAACAAGAGCACATCTACAATCATCTGCTCCTCAACAAACCTGACAAAAAAATAGCAATGGGGGAAGGATTCCCTATTTAATAAATGGTTCTGGGAAAACTGGATAGCTCTCATCAGAGTTACAGACAACCTATAGAATGGGAGAAAATTTTTGCAATCTATCCATCTGACAAAGGTCTAATATCCAGAATCTACAAGGAACGTCAAACGAATTTACAAGAAAAAAACAATCCCATTAAAAAGTGCACAAAGGACATGAACAAATACTTCTCAAAAGAAGACATTTATAGGGCCAACAAACATGAAAAAAAGCTCAATATCGCTGATCATTAGATAAAAGCAAATCAAAACCACAATGAGATACCAACTCATATCAGTCAGAATGGTGATTACTAAAAAGTCAAGAAACAACAGGTGCTGGTGAGGCTGTGGAGAAATAGGAACACTTTTACATGGCTGGTGGGAATGTAAATTAGTTCAACCATTGTGGAAGACAGTGTGGCGATTCCTCAAAGATCTATAACCAGAAATGCCATTTGATCCAGCAATCCCATTACTAGGTATATACCCAAAGAAATATAAGTTATTTTATTATAAAGATACATTCATGTGTATGTTCACTGCAGCACTATTCACAATAGCAAAGACGTGGAACCAACCCAAATGCCCATCAATGATAGACTGGAAATGTAGTACATATACACCATGGAATACTATGCAGCCATAAAAAGGAATGAGATTACGTCCTCTGCAGGGACATGGATGTAGCAGGAAGCCATTATCCTCAGCAACAGCAAACCATCATGTGAACAGCAGCCCAAACACTGCATGTTCTCCTAAGTGGGAGCTGAAAAAAGAAAACACATAGACATAGGGAGGGGAACAACACACACTGGGGTTTGTTAGGGGGTATGGGGAGGGAGAGCATCAGGATAAACAGCTAATACATGTGGGGCTTTAACCTAGGTGATGTGTTGACAGGTGTAGCAAACCACCATGGCACATATTTACCTATGTAACAAACCTGCACACCCTGCACACATATCACAGAACTTAAATTTTTTTTTAAAGTTTTCTTCCTGTACTGAATAACCCTATATTTATATTACATATTATAATGTTTATTGTATTAATTATATTTACTTATTATTTTCTTCTAAGCTGCATTTTCCATCATATCACACTGACTGGCCCAAGTCTTAAAAGCACTTTGGGCCAGATGCAGTGGCTCACACCTATAATCCCAGAACTTTGGGAGGCCAAGGTAGGCGGATCACCTGAGGTCGAGAATTCAAGACTGGCCTGACCAACATGGAGAAACCCTGTCTCTACTGAAAATACAAAAAATTGGCTGGGTGTGGTGGCACATGCCTATAATCCCAGCTACTTGGGATGCTGAGGCAGGAGAATCGTTTGAACCTGGGGGGTGGAGGATGCAGTGAGATTACACCACTGTGTTCCAGCCTGGGCAACAAGAGTGAAACTCCATCGTAAAAAACAAAACAAAACAAAACAAAACACTTTGATCAGTTACTACCACAATATAAGAAATGCTGGGCCATAAAGCTTCAGTAGAAACAAAGCATTTGTAAATATTTCACAAAATTTTAAATAAGATTTAATATATACAGGCACTTTTCAAAAGAAGACAAATATGCAGCCAAGAAACATATGAAAAAATGCTCATCACCATTGGTCATTAGAGAAATTGAAATCAAAACCACATTGAGATACCATCTCATGCCAGTTAGAATGGTGATCATTAAAAAATTTGGAGACAACATGCTGGAGAGGATGTGGAGAAAAGGAACACTTTTACACTGTTGTTGGGAGTGTAAATTAGTTCAACCATTGTGGAAGACAGCGTGGCGATTCCTCAAAGATCTAGAAATAGAAATTCCATTTGACCCAGCAATCCCATTACTAGGTATATACCCAAAGGATTATAAATCATTCTACCATAAAGACACATGCACATGCATGTTCACTGTGGCGCTGTTTATGAGACCAAAGACCTGGAACCAACCCAAATGCCCATCGATGATAGACTGGACAAAGAAAATGTGGCATATCTACACCATGGAATACTATGCAGCCATAAAAAACAAGTTTGTATCCTTTGTAGAGACATGGATGAACCTAGAAACCATCATTCTCAGCAAACTGACACAAGAACAGAAAACCAAACAACAGATGTTTTCACTCATAGGCGGGTGATGAATAATGAGAACACTTGGGCACAGGGAAAGGAACAACACTCACAGGGCTAGGTGGGGGAGTGGAGGGACAGCGGTGGAGGGGGCGGGGGCAGGCGGGGAGGATGGGGAAAGATAACACCAGGAGAAATGGAGAAATGCTTGATGTAGGCGATGGGTCCGGGGGAGGGGGGTGGGCAGGATGGAGACCGAAAACCACCATAGCATGTATGTACCTATGCAGGATGCAGGAAGTGCACATGTATCCCAGAGCCCATACTGCAATAAAAAGATTTAATATGTAATAAATATTTTTAAACTATTAATGTCCACTTTACATTTTTTAATTTGTACTAAGTCTTTGAAACTGGTATGCTTTTTAGACTTACAGCACATCTGAATTTAGACTAGCTTCATTTCAAATGCTCAACAGCCATGTTGAAGAATGACTACTGTATTAAACAGTGCAAATTTTAGAAGCTGCTTCTGGAAGGCTAAGAGTACAGTATTCCCTAGGTTTTTCTATGTTTAACAGGATTGTTCTATAGCTTTGATTTTTGCTGGACAACTTGGTTCAATATAAAGTTCTTATTCCTTCAGTTACTTCCCTACCATTAAACTCTGTATTGCTCTGTGGAAGTCTGATGCCAATCTGACTTTCTTTCCTTTTTCTTTTTGAGACGGCGTCTCTACTGCCCAGGCTGAAGTGCAGCTGTGCAATCTCTGCTCATTGCAACCTCCACCTCCCAGGCTCAAGCGATTCTCGTGCCTCAGCCTCCCAAGTAGCTAGGATTACAGGAGTGCACAGCCACATTCTGCTAAGTTTTTCATTTTTAGTAGAGATGTGGTTTCACCATAGTGGCCAGGCTGGTCTCCTGACGTCAAGTGATCCACCCACGTTGGCCTCCCAAAGACGCTGAGATTACAGGAATGGATCACCATGCCTGGCCTTTCTTTCATTTTAAATATTATTTTTGCATGGAGACCTTGAGGATTTTTATCTCTGTTTTTCTCTTTAAAGTATAAAAGTTTTCCTACACTATGTCTTTGAGTTGACTGTTTCAGGTCAATTTTCACAAGCATATAGTAGGTCCTTTCAATAAACAGATTCTGGTCTTCCTTTACTTACAGAAAGTTTATATTTTTAAATACTACCTCTGTTTCACCATTTGTTTTCCTTCTTAAAAATTCCAGTTGAATGTATGTTGAATCTTTTTGAATATCTTCTGTATTATAATCTTTTCTCTGATCCTTTATCTTCTCATTTGCCTGTTTTCATCTCTTTCCTCAATGCCCTTTATTAAATTTCCAATCACCTCTAGTCTTCCTTGGGCACCTTGAAATTTAGTCTTAATTTTTACAAGAATTTTGTCATTTTCTTCAATTTCTTCTGGTCAACTCTAATTACACTTCTTCCTGGTGTTTACTTAGGTTCTACGTTTCCGAATGTATAACTTGAAGGTTTCTTCTCTTCTTATCTCCAAAGGCTTATTTAAGAATATTTAATACAGGTCATGGTGTTTTGTTAATGATAACTGCCTCATGAATGGCTTTGCTGGAAATTTTTTTTTCTTAAAAAAAAAATATGGAACGCTTCACAAATTTGCATGTCATCCTTGCACAGGGGCCATGCTAATCTTCTCTGTATCATTCCAATTTTAGTATATATGCTGCCAAAGCGAGCATGGAAAATTTTTAATAGCTAAAATGTTTTGATTCTTATTTTCTGCTTTCTTCTTTGTATGTAACTTACATGAAATTTCCTGTTCAGTGTATAATTTTTTGTTTTCCTTCACCAGCAATAAAAATTATATGCAGTAAGGGCAACAATTTGGAATAAGTATCTAGGATTTTTAGTTCAAATGCTCCCTCTTCTGAACTGAGGCCAAAGTGGGGTGATTAGTTTGTCTTCTGATTTTGTGGTTTTCTTATTTCTACAGAACACTTCATTTCTCCCTCTTGCTTCTTTCTTTTCAGCACCAGGTATTAAAGGGGAACAACTCCATCCCCAAAGTGGTACTTTTCTGACCTGTCACCCGGAATCCCATGTACTTTTGAGTAGCCAATGTTAGAATCTAATCTAAGACCAGATCATACTATTTTCCTACTAGTGTAGGAATTTTTCTTTCTAAAGGTAATTTTCATTGTGTGCTATTACTGTTCGGCTCCTGGCTCCCCATTTCCCTCTCCTCTTGTCCATGTAGTCTCTGCAGTTTTAACTCTCCCTGCAGTGGTCTCTGAAGTTGTGTAGGCTATATTTGGTTATTTATTTATCTCTGTAATAATTTGAAGTGTGTCTGCTGGTTATGCTGAAGACACAGATTACAGTTAATTGGTTTTATTTTATCTCTTTGTTGATCTGTGTGGACTTTTAGAGAATGCATGTAAAGATACAGATTTAGGAGGCCACAACCATCCTATGGCAATCCAGGAGTCTCAACTCATCAGGAATTGTCGACGTCTTTTTAATTGATGCTTTAGTTGAGAATCTCCTCTATTCTTCAAATGCTACCTTTGGTAAAAAACTGAATCTTCAGTAGTTCATAATGAGCACCAGTGCTAAGCCCTCATGAACAATTCACTAGAAGAGGCAAACAACTCACGCCTGTAATCCCAGCACTTTGGGGGGCCGAGGCGGGTGGATCACGAGGTCAGGAGATCAAGACCAACCTGGTCAACATGGTGAAACTCCGTCTCTACTAAAAATACAAAAAATGAGCTGGGCATGGTGGCGCGTGCCTGTAATCCCAGCTACTTGGGAGGCTGAGGCAGGAGAATTGCCTGAACCCAGGAGGCGGAGATTGCGGTGAGCCGAGAATGCGCCACTGCACTCCAGCCTGGGTAACAGGAGCGAAACTCCGTCTCAAACAAACAAACAAACAAACAAAAAAAGAGGCAAACACTATGAAAAAAAGCAAAGGAGGTAAAAAATAATAACAATAATAATGAATTCAGCTTGTAAAAGAAACATATTACTTTGTGGAACATTTGACTAACTCTAGATAAAATGGTAAAAATCTAGTAAAGATACTACTATGAAAGAATAAAGTAAAATAACGTTTTTCATCTCTACTAAAACAGCAGGAGTATGTTCAGAGATTGCAGATACTGAAAACAATTGATAATAAGAAGTCTCTTACACTTAGGAAGTAATTTTGCTACCTCATAGTGAGTCTGTTCAAAAATAGTAAATGCATAAAGGAAATGACAACAAAACTTTTTACTGTTAGAGAAGATTCACGGAGTAATCTAGATTAGCACCTTGTATACATAAAGGCATACCTTAGAGATATTGCAAGTTGGTTCTAAATCACTTCAATACAGTGAATATAACTATAAAACAAATCACACCTTTTTTTTGTTTGTTTGTTTCCCAATAGATATAAAAGTTATGCTTACAGGCTGGGTGTGGTGGCTCACACCTGTAATGCCAGCACTTTGGGAGGCCAAGGCAGGTGGATCACCTGAGGTTAGGAGTTCAAGACCAGCCTGGCCAACATGGGGAAACCCTGTCTCTACTAAAACCACATAAAATTAGCCGGGCGTAGTGGCAGGTGTCTATAATACCAGCTACTTGGGTGGCTGAGGCAGAAGAATCGTTTGAATATGGGAGGTGGAGGCTGCAGTGACCTGAGATCGTGCCACTGCACTCCAGCCTGGGTGACAGAACAAGACTCTGCCTCCAGGAAAAAAAAAAAAAGTTATGTTTATACTATACTGTAGTCTATTAAGTCTGCAATAGCATTATGTCTAAAGAAACAATGTACATAGCTTGCTTTAAAATATTTTATTGCTAAAAAATGCTAGAGATTATCTGACCCTTCAGTAAGTCATAATCTTTTTGCTGCTGGAGGGTCTTTCCTCAATGCTGAAGGTTGCTGGCTAACCACCACCTAATCAGGGTGCTGGTTGCTGAAGGTTAGGGTGTCTATGTCAACTTCTTAAAACAAGATAAAGTTTATCATGCTGATTGACTCTTATTTTCACAAAAGATATCTGCAGCATACAATGGTGTTTGATAGCACTTCACCTATACAACTTCTTTAAAACCTGAAGTCAGCCGGGCGCTGTGGCTCACGCCTGTAATCCCAGCTCTTAGGGAGGCAGAGGCGGGAGGACAGCTTGAGCCCAGGAGTTCGAGACCTGCCTGGGCAATATAGCAAGACCCTATTCTCCACAAAAAGGAAAAAAACAAACAAACAAACAAAAAAACCTGTAGTTAATTCTTTCAAACCCTGTCAATGCTTTATTAATTAAGTTTATATAATATTCTGAATTCTTTGTTGTCATTTCAATGTTCACAGCATCTTCACCAGGAGTAGATTCGATCTCAAAAAAACACTTTCTTTGCTCATCCATAATAAGCGACCCCTCATCTCGTCAAGTTTTATCATGAAATTACAGCAATTCGGTCACATCTTGAGGTGCAACTTCTAATTTTAGTTCTCTTGCTATTTCTACCACATCTACAGTTACTTCCTCCACTGGTTTTGAACTGCTCAGTCATCCATAAGAGAGGGAATTAACTTCTTCCAAATTCCTGTTAATGCTGATATTTTGACCTCCTTCCATGAATCACGAATATTCTTAATGGCATCTAGAATGGTGAATCCTTTCCAGAAGGTTTTCAATTTAGTTTGCCCAAATCCACTGGAAGGAAATCACTATCTATGGCAGCTATAGCCTTATGAAATGTATAATATTAAGACTCAGAAATTATTCCTTTATCCATGGATGTTGCGTTAACAGGGACAAAAATAACATTTGCCCCTGTGTACATCTTTGTCAGAGGTCTTGAGTGACCAGATGCACTGTCAATGAGCAGTAATATTTTGAAACAAATCTTTTTTTCTGAGCAGTATGTCTCAACAGTAGGCTTAAAACATTCAGTAAACCATGCTGTAAATAGATGTGCTGTTGTCCAGGCTTTGTTATTCCTTTTTCAAAGAACAGGTAGAGGAATTTAGCATCATTCTTAAGGGCCCTAGGATTTTCAGAATGGTAAATGAATGCTGGCTTCAACTTAAAGTCACCAGCTGCATTGGCGCCTAACAAGAGTCAGCCTGTCCTTTGAAGCCGGGCATTGACCTCTACACCATAGTTATAAAAGTCTTAGCTGGCATCTCTTCCAATATCAAGCTGTTTCATCTATATTGAAAATCTGTTATTTAGTATACCCTCCTTCATCAACGATCTTAGCTAGATCTTGTGGGTAACCTGCTTCAGCTTCTCCATCAGCAGCTGCTGCTTCATCTTTCACTTTTAGTGTTGTGAACATAACTTCTTTTCTTAAACCTCATGAACCAACCTCTGCTAGCATCCAACTTTTTCTTCTGCAGTTTCCTCACCTCTCAGCCTTCTCAGAACTGAAGACCATCAGGACACTGCTCTGGATTAGGACATGGCTTAATGGAATGTTGTGGCTAGTTTGATCTATCCAGACCATTCAAACTTTCTTCCCATCAGCAATAAGGCTGTTTTGCTTTGTTATCATTCATGTGTTCACTGGAGAAGCACTTTTAATTTCCTTCAAGAACTTTTCCTCTGCATTCACAACTTGGTTAACTGGCTCAAGAAGCCTAGCTTTTAGCCTATCTTTGCTTTCAACCTGCCTCTGCTTTCGTCATGCCTTCCTCAGAAAGCTTCATCATTTCTAGTTTGTGATATAAAGTGAGAGAGATATGACTCTTCCTTTCACTAGAATACTTAAACAGGCCACTGTAGGATTACTAGTTAGCCTAAATTAAACATTGTGCCTTAGGGAACAGGGAGGCCTAAGGAGAGGAATAGAGACAGGGTGTAAGGGGTGCAGCATAGCTAGTTGGTAGGGCAGTCAGACACAATATTTATCAATTAAGTTCACCATCATATATGGGCATGGTTCATGGCACCCCAAAACAATCACAATAGTAACATCAAAGATCACTAATCACAGATTACCACAGCAGATATAATAATAATGTTGGAAACATTACAAGAATTACCAAAATGTAACACAAAGACACAAAGCACATGCTGTTGGAAAAATGGCACCAAAAGACTTGTTCAACTCAAGGTTGCCATAAACATTCAATATGTAAAAAATACAGTATTTGTGATGTGCAAAAACTAAAGCGCAATAAAATGAAGTGTGCCTATAATTACGTATGCTTAGGATTGTTGAAGGGAGCCAAAAATCAATACAACAAATGAAATAAAGAACAAGGGCTAGCAAATTCCTTAGGGGTAGAAAATAAAGAATTCAACATGTGACTGAATATTATGATAGAAGGTTAGTGATTTGGAACTAGAAATTAAATGCTTTTTTTCTTTAAAGACAAGTAAACACACAGTATCTCACAGAGTTGTTCTATAAAAAATAATTATGTGACTGTCATATGAAATGGGAATTGCCATCAAGCAAGAAACTAAGCTAAATATAAAAAAAAAGAGGGAGAAAGAGAGTAAGACAAAGGAAGATAACTCTTCAGGAAGAGAGTTTAAAGCTGTATGGCATCACTTTATGGTACACCTAGCGACACAAAATGGTCCTCATCCTCAGAATGGAATAAAATAAATAGAATTTTTATTACAAATAGAATGTTAATTTTTCTTGTCTTTGGGCCTTTAATTTAAACTACTAGTTTCTCTTGCAAGGTGATTTAGATGCCATATTCTCCAAAGACAATTCATGTCTTAATGTTTAGGGATGAAAATAGGTGGCCTATTGTTTTACATTTCCAAATAAGCATAAAAGAGTAACCATACTACAATTAAATAAGCATTTACTGAGAATATTCTAACTATAATCTGAATCAAAAGAGACCAAAATAAACAGAAGCTGATTTCTTGGCTGGTATCCTTCACACATTTACTAAAAACATTTTTAAACTGAGATCTGATGTATTTATATGAGTGAATGAATGACTTTACATTAATTTAAATCAAAGATTTACGCAAAATGCTTGCTTAAACAAAATGTTTTCACAAAATCTAGTAAGTATTCAAATCTTCTTGTCTCTTAAGAATGACACATATACTATAAACGTTACAGAGAGAAATATTGCCAATGGTAAAAAAAGAAAATCACTCTAAAGCCATACATCGAAGTAAAAATTCCAATTTCAGATTACAGTCATTTATAATATGCAATTCAAATGCACTAAATTCACACAGTGTAAAAGTTTCAAAAGCATTATTATTTTGTTCCTTTCAGAAATAACCTTTCCAGTAACAGGGTAGTAGAATGCAAAATAAAATTTTGTTTATATTTCCATTATATACATTACCATCTTATATTTGTATAGAATGGAGAAATCTTTCTTTCCTGCTCAGGTGCAAACAGTGATTATTTTTAGTTAAAACACCTGACACTAAGGAAGAATTATGAAACTTGAAGCTCTCTGTTTTTTTTTGTTTTTATAAAAGCAAGTACAGATTCTTCTAAGTTAAATGTTTTATAATTTTACATTTAGGAGGACAGAAGTAGCAATGGCTCAATCACCTTATTCAAGGAAGAATTATAGAAAATTAACATCTTACTAATGTATTTTACTTTTTCTTGTTAAAAAGCCAAATTCTCACTTTATAAAGTATATCAATAAATGTTTATGAAATACATATATCACTTTATAATAAGTTCAAGTAAAACAGGCTTATCCACTTTAATAAAAATTTGGAAGCTTTTTTTTTTTTTTAAAAAAGCAAACATTTAAGAAAATATTAAAATCTAGCTTCTTGGAACAGTTTCACATTACATAAACTCAACAAAAAGCTTCACTTTACTCAGATTATAATTTTTTATTTTGTAAACCAAGAATTCAAATCCAAACTCTGGCTTCTTCCAGAGCAAGGCAAGTAAGCTTATTAATCTGTTACCTCATCCTTTAAATGGTGATAATAACACCTATCTCATAGGGCTGTAGGAAAGACTAGACAGTGGCTATAATCCCCAGCCCAGTATTAAACATACAGTAAGTAATCCAATGACAGATATAATTCCTAAATCAAAGACTGGATATCTGCATGAACTCCTTCTTCCAATGTCAAATTCTTTTTTGTTAGCAGTCTTAGGCATGAGAACATTTATAAATTTTGTTTGATTAACAAGACATTCCTTTTGTTCGTTCCCTTCCTGGGTTGTCACTAGTTAAATTTGTGAGAGTTTATTGTTTCAACAACTTGTGGTTACATGGTCTTAACATTTTGTGATATACAATTTCAAGACCATTTTCAACAAAAGGTATACTGAATAAGCTCACAATGGCGCTGAAATGTAATCCACCAATTATAAACTTGTCAATATTTTTTGAATCTTTTCTTTAAAAAGGTATAAATTTTGCTCCCTTTCTTCTTCATTTCCCTTCAACTTCATCTGTGTCTTCCAGTCTTTCCAGGAGACAATGGGCAACCTTCTACAGATGACCAAGAATATGACCCTTCACATGTTCTTCAGTTTCTAAAACAAATGGTCTATTTCAAAGTTTACTGTTTTCTAACAGCGAAAAAAAAGGGTCACTGAAAACAGACAAAGGTTATCATAAAACAGCTGTTCAAAAAAACATACCTGAGATACTTAATTTACTTAGGCTAATTATGTTACTGTGGAAAGCTGCCCATTGTGGCACATGTAAACAAAAAAAATCAGGTCATTGTGTGGTTCTTTCTAATTTCTAGATCAGTGCTATCCTTAAGAATTTTCTATGATCATGGGAATATTTTATATCTGTGATCCCCAAGAGGGTGGTCATCTGCCAAATATAGCTACTGAGAAGTGAGACTAAGGAACTTACTTTTCAATTTTACTTATTTGTATTAAATCTAAATAGCCACATGTGTCTATTAAAACAGATAGCAGTCTTTGACACTCTCCTTCCCTGTCCTTTTTCTTTCCCATTTTGAGCCTTATCCAGATGCTCTGGTTAAACTCCTTGTTTCAAATCCCTTCTCTGTTATCTCCAAGATTAAACAGCTTGACAGAGTTATAATCTCAAAATAATTACTGAAAAAGAATTTTAAAAGCTAGCTCTAAAATGCACTTTTTTGATGAAGAGCACTGCAATCATTTTAGATTTTTCTAGTCAAGATTTACTAAAAATTAAAAAACACATATATCAACAAGTGTTGAAACACTACAATTAAAACCGTAACAATATACACTTGCCTCTCAATTCTTTGTTAGCTGCATAATTAGTCTCAGGATAGGACAACAGCATAATTAAAAACAAGTACAGAACAAACCATAGCACAACCAAGCACAATTAAGATAACAAATGAAAATCACTCTATACCGATCTATTAATGGTGATAATACAGAAATTAGTGAATAGAAATAAGATAAATAAAATGCAATACAATGTGTCAAAGAAGAATTGTGCAGTTTCTATCTCTAGCATTATTTACCACATTAAAGATAAAATCTTATCTCAACTTCAAAAGACTTTTGATGACTACTAATGGTTCTTTCCAAATCTATGCATACATATTATTTTAAAGTACAATTATTTTAAAATATGATAATATCTCAAAAAATGTTAAATGTTTTAAGCTCCCCTGTTTCTCTTCTCTCTCCTTCCCCACTGTCCCTACATATAAAACAGTCTATTTTTGAAGCACAAATGTAGGTGTTAAGAAAAACAACTATGATGCTTTACTGTTAGGAACAAACAACGGCCTCTCTCTGGGACTGGTATTAATGTCATCACCACCCATCAATTCCTCCTTTCTTTGCCTATCAATTTGGCTTTGAGGATCCTGGGGGGGCGTGGAGGGTGGGTAGGAGGATGGAACATGTAAAACAATCTCAGTATTCAGGGATATGATTCAAAAGAATTCAAGTTATATGAATACAAAGTTATGTGCTTAACTACACGCCAGTTTCTGAATGACTACTGAATTTGATTTTCTCGTTTGGAATTTGAGTAAACATAATGAAACTTACTATTTTGAGCCAGGGCTTGAAGCAGACAATCCAAGCATCCTTCTAAACTATCCTCAGTCCTGTCAACAGCTGTTATCTTCAGCTTCTTTAAGGTATCACTGAGATTATCTGCTTAAAGAAAAAAAAAGAAAAATCAGAAACTCACCAACATTTTGACCACCATATGTTACATGATAAAAGGATAAACAGTTATCATTAAACTGAAGAGCTTTATATAATAGCAAATTAACCTCTACTTACATTCCAAAATGGCATTAGACAGTACTATTAAAAAAATTTAAAATATACTTTGTTCACTTAACTCAGATATGAAATATTGTTACATGTAAGATATCAGGAATATTCCAAAGATTATCAAAGAACATCTTTTTTCTATATTCTTACAAAGTATCGAGCTTGTTCAGGAAAGCAACTATGGTTTGAAAAAATTAAATGTTCACAAAAATATATAGTTTTGCAAATATTTTATTTCATTGTTGACTTCCTCTGTTGTACATTAAAGACATAAAATAAAAAATGACGATTTAGAAAAATTCCAAAATAATATGATTCCAAATAATACAAAGCATGATAACTACAAAACTTACCTTAATATTGTCATTTGAAAAATACTTCATATTGAAGTACTGCTTTAAGCCCTAATATGCACATTTTGGATTATATAAAGCCTTGCTTTCTTTCTAAATTATATGTGAATTCCTCTAGACCACAGATTCTCAAAACCTCTCTACACTATTAAAAGTTATTAAGAATCCCAAAGAGCTTTCATTTATATTATTCCTATAGACATTTAACATATTAAAAAATCAAAACTGAGACTTTTTTCAATTTATTTAGCAATTTATTTAAATGTAACAGTTATAAACCTATTGCATATTAACATAATTAGCATTTTAATGAAAAAAGCTATTATTTCCAAACAAAAAAATTTAGTAAGAAAAATGGCACTGTTTTAAATTTTCAGAATTTAAAACAGAAATCTCATTTCAGAAATGAAATCTCATCCAGGCCTGGCGGCTCATGCCTGTAATCCTATCACTTTGGGAGGCAAAGGTGGAAGGATCACTTGAGGCCAGATGTTTGATACCAGCCTGGGGAACAAAGGGAGTCCTCAACTCCATGAGAAATAAAAATAAATTAACTGCATATGGTGGCATATGCCTGTATTCCCAGCTACTTGGGATGCTGCAGTGGGAGAATCACTTAAGTCTAAAAAGTTTCAGGCTACAGTGAGCTAGGACTGCTCCACTGCACTCCAGCCTGGGCATCAGAGCAAGACCTTGTCTCTTTAAAAAAAAAAAAAAAAAAAAAAAAAAATGAATCTTTATAACGTGGTTCAACAAAAGATAACTGGACTCTCGTATCTACTTCTGTATTCAATCTTGGTTAATGTGCTGTTTTGGTTTGAACAGATGAAAAAAATTTAGTCTCAATATATACAATATATATAGCCTTTTCAGATATTGTGGATATTCATTGAGAGCTAAAACTGGACACCTAGTAGTTCCTTAAAGGTTAGTTTCTCTGCAGAAGCTGAAACAATATCAAAGAATGTTTCCATTCTCCAGAAGAGGAAAGATTTATCTGATTAAGGCTGAGAAGGACTACTGGACATGTATGGCTCAGCCCTTCTGCATTCCTGTTCTTAAGGAAGGGACAAGAATTTTCTGTTCTTCCACACCTGTGGCTGTCCAGGTGTACCAGTAACAAAATGAGTAAATATGTATAATTCAGTAACAAAATATTCGTAATCCCATCGTGGCTATACAAATAGAGGCCTTAACTCTAGACTTTATCGATTTTAAGCAGATATTTTAAAGTCTAGCAGACAACTCATCTGCTTTTACCTCCAGTGGTTCTAAACTTGGGTAACAAACAGAGGATATTATTTTTGCACTCCGTCAAACCATGACAGCAAATTTCAGTAGTAAATCCTTAGCATGCAAATTACTTTCTGTGTAAATCCAGAGATCTGTATTTTATATTTCCTTAAAAACATTGAAATTGTTCTAATGAAAATGTGTCAGCTTCTGGCTTGTAATGAGGCAGTAAGTAGAGACAGAAATGGAGGAATATTAACAAATAAAGTTTTTTCTTAAAACCACTTCTTCCCTGTACATCAACATATGGTCTAGCTTGTCTAGTGAAAGAATAAGTGACATCTTCAAAGGGTTAAAGCAAAGTTTACTTGGTCATTAATTCTGAGTCTCCCACTTCCTACACACTTAATCACTCCTTAAAACCTGATCTAACCAAGTTCACTAAAAGCTTATCAAAATTCCTCTGTCAAAGGTCTTAAACGGTATCTTGATGAAGCCAACAAATTTTTCTCAAACCTCCTTCGTGATATCTCTGTAGCAATAGACTGTTTTTACATCTCTAAAACACCTCTTAACTTAGAAACATCAGTCTGAACATTTGTTTTTGGTCTTCTTCAACAGATCTTCCTTCTCTATCTGCCTCTTTAATATTAGTGTGACCCAGTTGTACACAAAGCCCTCTTCTCTTCCTAATATATGCATGCCCTTCAGAATATTAGGATAGTATGATCTTTCCTTCTTTCCTTCCTTCTTTTATTCAGTTGGACAGACCCTTGCTTTATCTCCCTATCAATATGAAAAATTGCCACATTTTAGGACTTGTTACATTTGGATAAAGCCTGATGCAACTTCTGGTAACCCTGAACAGCTGTCATTCCTAGCATTTCTCAAAAGTCCCTGTTAAAAACACACAAACATCTACACTTCCCCACTAAAGCTTTCAAATTTTGCAAAGCCTTTTTTTTTTTTTCTTCATTTAGGCACCAGAGGCTCTTTATGCTCCAACCTCTCTTCTATAAACCAGAAACAAATAATTTACTGGTCTGTAAGTACTTAATGTAATGGAAGAGTTTTAATAAGACCTAAATTTTTAGCTATCAGTTTCTCTTTTCTTATCATCAATCTAAGAAAAACTAATGAGGAAAGTGATGCTGTTTTAATGTTCAAATAATTTGAGTTAAAAGTACTTAAGATCATCATCATCATCATCAAAGAACATACTTGACTGTGAACAAAGGATTGTCCCAAAGAACCAATCTCAAGACAGTGTCATGTTAAACTAAGAAGTTATGAAATTCTTCATGTTATTTGTGGTGGCATTTTTCCAGTTTATCTTCCTCACAATATTATTCAGAAATGGTAGCTTTATTTTCAAGGTTATTGAATCTAAAACATCATATTTTTAAATGTTAATCAATTCCATCACTTAACTATATGCTAGTAAGTAATACGTGGGTATATAGATAGATATGTGTTTGTTATCTTTGGACAATTATACCACTGTTGATTATAAAACCGACAGGAGACAAGCACACGATAAGAACTACTAAATGTGCTTGTAAAAGTTCAAGACATTTTACCTCCCTTCAAATGTCACTCAATTTTTTTTCTAAATCTATAATTTTCACCTATCTAGTAACAAGGCTTTACTAGCATCATTATCCACATCAAATCTTAAAAAAAAAAAAAAAAATTATTTCTATGTTAATGAGGTTTTCAAGTACCTAGAATATACAGCCGATGCATGAATGGAAGAATTTCAAGTTTATCTCAAAATGAATGGCATTAAGTCAATTTGGGGCACCTGGCTTAGCAGCTGAAAATAATAGCAAACTCTCATGAATATTATGTTTTACTTATCTAAATGGCTTAGTATCTGACTGAATGAAGCTATTTTTAAAAGCTCATCAAACGAAGTAGCAATAATAGTTTCTGTTAGTCTGTCAAGTCGAAAGGCCTGTGTTTAAAAATTATAATATTTTCTGTTTTACTTTGTTGTATTTCAGTTTCCCACTTTTCTTCTGTTTACAGAGCTGGTCCTAAACCAGTCAGAAACTTTTACAACTCATTATACCCTCATCTCCGATTACGTCGTACTTTCTCACACAACATCATGTGTGTGTCAGTCCCACTATGTTATTGGCTTTTTTTAAAGCACATTTTCATTTTCACAATTCTGAGAATTAAATTCTTATCTAAAATTCCTTTCTGTGCATTTTCCACATATAGCATGGCTACTTACTTGGCAAAGTCAACTAATATGCCAAGTCCTACATGAAGTCTTCTGTATTTCTGCAGGAAATCTTCCTTTTCTAGGCTCCCATATTTTGTTTATACCTGACAAACATGAAATTTTCTATTTTTATATAATTTCTTTATTGTTAAATTTATTTCAACATATTTTAGAATTTTGTCATTCCTGAGATTTAAATAAGTTGTCCTATGTTCATGTGTAGGTGACATATCTACAGTAAAAGAGCTACCTTGTATAATTATCACATAATCAATCACCATTAAAATTATTTCTTAGCAAGCTAAAAAAGTTTAAGTATAAAAATCATGTCTCTTGATCCCTGTAAAGGGAGGACTACTGTATTGTAATCTAATTCTCCAGTTATTCCCAATTTCACTTCTAACAATATGAAAAAAAAAAAAATCATGCCTTTCTTCATTGCTACTGCTGCTATAAATGCTTGCTGTTAAGATATAAACAAGAAAGAAAAACATAAGAAAACTGGGAGCTTAGAAAAAGTATTTAAAGTTTAATCATTTATCACTACCTTCATAATTATTACTTGGTCTCAATAAAAAATTGAAAATTAAAAAGAATATGAAGCTAATGTGAATGGGCAACTTTGTTAAATTAGTTTCCATGACTAAGTTCTATAGAGGCAAGATCTAACAGGAATGTACATAAATACTAAATATGTTTTGTGAATATACATTTATATGCATGATCTGAAAAAGAAATATCTGAGCAAAAAAGCAACTGTTCAGGGTGCATGTGTGTACTATTTCAAAGGCAATTCAGGCAGTACTTGGATAATTAGAAATATTTCTAATATTTAAAAAGAAACTAGTTAAAAACTATTCTATTTAAATTCCAAACTAAATTTCAAAAATGTTACACACCTAACTTTTACCTTAATTTGTTACTTTTACATGTAGTCACACCTATTCATACACATGGCCTTTGCTTCCAGTATGGCTCTCCAGGTTGCAATGACATTGAAATTCTGTGCCTATTCACCAGTTATTCACACATCTATCCACTAGATACACCTCTTT